GATGAGGCTTGGAGAAACCTAACAAGTTCTGAATGAAATTTTTTTATTATTATTTTTTTTTTTAGTATTACAACAATCTATCTCTTGGACATTAGTTATATTGAGGTAGGATAACATTCACACTATATCTACAAAAAGAATAAATAGAAGCAAAATAATAATCAAACGTATATACAATAAATGATAAAATAATATAACCTAAAAAATATGAAAATTAAAACTAAGCAAAAAAAAAAAAACACATGCATACTTTTATATAATATTGAATGAAACAACAGAAGAGTTAAATGCAAGACATTTCCTCGGAATAAAATGTCCCATCTTTAGAATTGATAAACTATAAAAACGCATTTTCTAATAAACTTTGAACATTATATTTTTTGTCACGTAAGTAGTGATTAAGGTGTCTAAAAAAATTTTAATCTGTAGGCGAGAAGTTCGGAGAGTAGGGCGGATGTGGCAGAGTTTCATATCCAAGCTCCAACAGTTTTTGTGACGTCACACGTGAGACATGTGATCGGACGTTGTCATGCAACTAAATCTACCCTTCCAATTGACCAAAAATGGCTTCATTATTGCCAATTTCTGATGGATTGCATTAATTTGGTTACAACACTATTCAGATTGATGGTTTCTTTAGGATTTAAGAAGCTGTAGTGTATCAAATCACCCGATAATTAGTCTTAAAGCAAGATGTTGCTCTAGATGTTATATACCTAGATTGATTATAACATGAAATAGAAACTGACGATGGGGCATATTAGATTTAAGCCATGTATCCACAAGATCATTGGGATTGTGGTTCTGAAAATGGGAGTAAATATCCCGAAACGTAAACTTGTAAACATGCAATTTTGATAATACAACAAATAAATTCAATTGTTGTTAATTGGAAGTAATGATTGCCAAATAACAAAGAGTAACCATAACATTTCTTACTTTCACTTACCTATATATGTAATAAGTAGTAAGGGTAAGTATTGCGATCGTGAAAATTTTAGAGTCTGAGTTTTCAACGGAAATACACGTTTTGAGGTAGCCTGAGTCCAAATAGCCAAGTCTCGAAAAATGGTCTGGGCGTTTGTATGTTAGAAGCCTAGCTCAAAAACTAAAAGTCGTACGAAACTGATATTTCGTATTTAAGATAGGTATATGCCTTAGATGTGATAGCAACTTTTTCCTTAAAATCGGCTAACCGGAAGTGCCGCTTTATATGAACGCTGAAATACATTTTTAAAATTTTCTCAAAAACTGCTCTAACGATTTTGATTACACTCATTGTATCATTGTATAATTAAATGATCTTTAATATCATTTAGGTCTTATCCCCGCTGATGTCTTTTTACAGGGCTCAAATAACCAATTTTCATATGTGTCTTCCTCTAAAGTACTTTTAATATGGTTTATTTTAAATAATTAATTATCTCTCATTATTAAAAATGCTACATATAACCTTTGAAAAAATTTGATAATTGAATAAAGGAGAAAAAACAAAAAATTCTTATCCAGGTCGAAAATGTATCATTGGAAAGCGAGAATTTTAGAAAAAAACAATATCTGATATCGAAAGTTGTAGAAGATAATGGAGAGTGGCAACAAAATTATAAATTATTAGCTGATGGACCCGTCATTGACGGGTGTATAATTAAAATTTGAGAATCTTTTTTGAGATGGATTTTGTACTATGGGGGGGGGGAGAAGAGAGTCTAAATTCAATTTCATAAAATTGGTTCGAGAGGAGGAAGGGCGGTTGTTTTGAATTTTTTATGGCGGGACTTATGGAAGTCAAGGTTTCGCGATAGTTATAATAAAAACATTGTTATCCGTGCCTAACAATCCACCCATTTCAGTTATTTGCTATCCAGTTATTTTATTATCCATCAGTTATTTATTAATCAACTTAATTTAAGGTTTAAAAAGTAAGTAAAATATTGATTTAAAATCTATATCTGGAACAGATTTTTACTTCCTTGACTGACAATGATGCTCAATAATTTGTTATTCAGCTATTTGTTTAGGTACTACACAACTAAACCGACCACCACCGATCCATTAAAATGTGTTAAGTGTTTAATTTTCATTTATGATGAAGCGAGGAGATTGTGGAGTCGATCAATTAATCATAAAGAGTTGTAGTCTCTCCACTTCTTTAAACTCTGCTGAGTTTATAGGTGGCAAAATAACCAAAATAACATTGGACATTGAGTCACCTACATCCGTGTAAAATTAGAAATTGATCTGAATATTGTGGCTGGCGGGTTTTTCTTCACGATTTCCTGTTAATTTATTTGTTTAATCCCAAAAATGTACACCACAACATTTGTGAGGCTCGGAAAGTAGAATCGAATGACGTCTTGAACGGGAAGATCGGACCAAGTTGAAAAATAAGTGCGTTTTATGCGACAACGCGTTACAGATGTTCGGTATGCCGGATTTTTCCCGTTGAGCTGTGATAATTTTTCCATTAGTTGAGTAGTACAACTTTTAAATGTGGCTCGCGATAGAGCAGGTTGGGATGGGAATCGAAGTAAGTAACTGCCTAACCGGGATCTCTAGACAAATTAGTCAAGAATTCATAACTTTGATCTACTCAATATTTTGTTTTCATTTAAAGCCTATATTCATATCAAGCAAACCTAAATATAATGTCAAAATTTAAATGTCTACCATTAGCAGTTGACGAGCTTACCCCTGACAAAAGTTTGTTGAACAATGCGGACATCCAGACAAAAATTTTTTGAAAAGTGGATTTGGTGTCTGTAATGTATAAAACGGAAAGATATCATGAACCGCGTTGATTCTATTCAATATAAAGACAAAACCTTTATTTTATTTATATAGATGTTCTTTAACTTATAAACATATGTTTATTATTAACGAGAATAGTCTAAAGGCGGAATGACACTGAGGCAACTTTTAGACAACATGTAGCATGCGGCATTAACGCATGCTACACACAGTCTTTCCATAGAAGGAACACAAAGCAACAAAATATATGTCTCCTTGCCGCATGCTACAAGTTGACCGTTGTTGCCTGTCGATGCGTCATCTCTCCACATGATTCAATGTTGTCGAACAGTGTCGCAACATTTCATCGCGAGCGCAAAAAACTTCAGAAAAAAAAGAATTACCCATCTCCTAGCAAAATTGGGAAATGATTTGATTATGCGCTACTGATTTTTTATTGCACGTTGATGTACCCAAATCAATATTGTCAACTACTGAGTATTTTGGTGATGACATGAAATACATTTGCTAACAAGCCAAATCGTCCTAGAGCCCATGAGAAAAAATCTAAATTATTTGATGAAAATTTTAAAAGATTTTTTTGAATATTTGTAACATCTTTATTGAAAAAAATGAGAGTTTCCAGTTGAATCTTACTTCCTGTAAAAATGGCGAATATTGGGCCAGTAACTTGAGGATCGAAACGGGAAATTCATTGTGAATTTTTTTATTTTATTAACTTGTATATATTGGTTGAGACATGTAAAAACAAAATTGCTGACGTGGGCTACCAAGGCAAAACTTTTATAGCTAAAAAAGCCTGATTATTTCGACCTTTTTTTGATTTGTTTTTTTCACTAAACCGTGTAACTAAGCGAAAAAACTTTTCTTTCATAAATTAAATAATGTTAAATTGTGCGTTGAACGATTACCTAAACTTAATAGTTTGGTTAAATGGTATGTTCATTAACAAGGTCATTCGTGAAAAACAGACAAATTACAATAAATGGCTTTGCAGCTTGGGAATAAGATGTCTAAGAGAAAAGCTCATAGAATAAAAGTTATAGAGCATCAAATTCCGCGTCCACTGAGTACTAACAGTTTTAATATAGATCAATTATATTTCTCGCATCGAGATTCGTAATTTCTTCATTATTTTTTTTTGTATATCTTATTATCCTGTTTATTACACCAATGAACCGTTATATACAAGATAAAAAAAAAATTACCACATTTCACACAATGAAATTTCCGTTTCGATTCTCAAGGAACTGGTCTATTATTCATTACCTCAGCCTTCATTCTTACAGGTAGCAAGATTCGACTGGCTAACTCATTTTTTAAATATAAATGTTATAAATATTTGTTAAAAAGTCTTTTAAAGTTTTAATCAAATAATGTCGATTTTTTGTCACAGACTCTTGGACTGAAATGAATTTTCCATTACTCTTCAAGCATAAAATATTAAGCTAAACCGAATTTCCTGATCATCGATTAATAGCTCTCTTCTCCAATATAGTAGTTTTTTTCTTTTCCTTTTATGATTCAAAGCGATTACCAAATATGCAGCTGCCACGACTGTTTATAATTATATGATGTAACAAACTGAAGTTGCCTGAATGGAATCGCTTTAGTCGCATGCTACTCAAGAATACGATTAAGCGCATGCGATATGCGGCAACATATTCCGCATGCGACATTAATTGAATTTTGTGCCACATAGTCAGACGGCTACAATAGGCAACACTAGGAAACAAGTATCAAGCAACATGTCGTTCAGTGTTGCTTCAGTGGAATTCCGCTTTAACTTAACTAACAGCAACATTATTGCTTAACCAAACTATTTATTTTATTTTATATCGACAGCTGATGGAAAATATCAAAAATAATAGCACAGTAAAATAACCATTTATATATTTGTTTGTGAAATGTCAAAACACCCCTTCAGACGTTCAGGGTCAACTCTCGAAAGGCAGCAAAAAAAATAATTTTATCGGAATTACTTGTTTTATTCTCGAAATAGAAGAAATTAAACAACTTCAGGAATGAATCATTATTTAAATGATCATGAAGGTTTGAAATGAGTAGGTGTTGTTTTTCTGATAAGCCTTATCAATTGTCCTTGTCAACCAAAGATATATAATACATTGGTAATTTTTTTTTTTTTTATATAGCATTGATTTAAGTTTAAGGAGTTTATTTGAGTTATGTTATGAAATAATTTCGTGAATATTTCTTGTTACAATATCCATATAATTTAATCGATATTAAATATGTTTTTTCATTTAGTTTTATTTGTCTTTATGTTCGTATGTAATTTTAATTTGATCGTATCTTCAAGCCAACCAGAAGTTACGCTAGATCAAGGTATTGTAAGAGGGTTGTATACTAAAACATACAATAATCGTGAAATAGCAAGTTTCAAAAGTATTCCTTATGCAAAGCCTCCTGTTGGAAAACATAGATTCAAGGTAAGTTCATTAATTGAAAACAAAAGGAATTTATTTTTAAATTACTATGATTAGAGTGCTACCAGTGAGTAGTTTCTCAACAAGCGTGTTTCATGTAATAATATTTCTCTGTACAAATTTACTTGATGTATTCATACTAATACAGTTGTAAATATCATAATAAAAGTTTAAAAAAAAAAAAAAAAAATTACTATATCAAGAGACATCCAGGATTATTTTTTTTTTGGGGGGGGGCTTCAGCATGAAAGCTTTTTTTCATATATATAATGATAATTAATTTGAAAAAAAAGAAACTACCTATATGACATGGTGTTTGAGTGATTCCTGAAAAAAAAAATACTTTAAGAGATAATATTTTAATATTTTTTTCTATATAACATGGTTATATTTTACCATTTTGAGTTAGGAGGCTTCAGCCCGAAATCCCCCTCCCACCCCCATCACCCTCCCGTAGATCCGCCTGTGGAAAAAGATAATTTCCTCTGTGGTTGAAAAAAAATAAATCATTTTTCTCTATCTCTCTCCTGATGTAAAAAATGAATAAAAATTAAAATGTAATAGAAACACTTTGTCACAATATTCAAAACCTAGTTATTAATTAAATCAAGTAAATATATTATTAATTTTGTTTTTTTTGTTTTCCATTCCCACGTCTTTTAGGCGATACGGGGTTTTTCCGGGTCCAGAGGAGATGGCGTTGCATTATGCCAGAGTTAAAAGTCTTCCAGGCACCCGGATTTGAACTCGCAAATCATGGTTTATCATCGGTTGCTCCAACAAGGCATGTCTTGGATCACTTCTATTTTGTGAATGGATGGCCTTGCATTGATAGAGAGGGAAGGCCTCTATGTCCTTGCCTTAATATAGATCTAAGAAGATTCTCAACAACGTAGAACTAATTTATTTTATACAGCCAAAGAGTTAAATTTTAATCTAAAAAATATCTCTAATAAAAATTTTATTGTAATAATAATAATGACACAATAATTAAAATGTACTCTTGCTTAATTTTCTATTGTTTCATATTTGTTTGTAATTTGTGTTTAACCGAATCTTCAGGTCTTCCTGAAGTAGTTATAGAACAAGGTATTGTTAGGGGATCATTGATAAAAACGTTTAACAATCGCCAAGTTTATAGTTTTAAAAGTATACCTTTTGCAAAGCCTCCGATTGGAAAGTACAGATTTGAGGTAGTTATATTTAGGGACAATTAAATATTTATTTATTCATTTTTATTTCATATTTAGTCACTGGTGTTTACAATTAATGTACTCGATTTATTAAATTTTAAATCAATAATTTTTTTTTTTTTTACTATTATTTTAGGAACCAGTTCCTGCTAGCCCTTGGTTGGGTACATACAATGCAACAAATGAACCACCTTCTTGTATTCAACTTGACTTATTTTTCACAAAAAGTGTAATTGGAACCGAGGACTGTTTATACATCAATGTCTATACACCACAGGTACAGAATTTTTAATGTTTTCTTCTTTAATAGTTTTTTCAGTTCCCTCCTCCTTTGAATATGGTTTGTAATCTATGAAACATCATGGTTTGTTTTATTCATTTTAGAGTTCATTTATAAGATATTTAATTATTTATTATTTAATTAAAGACAAGATATAAAATATACATTTCTTATACAATGAATAAGTATATTTCAAACTATGGCTTGTAAATTTCATACATAAATCTTGAACTCAAACAATGATTTATCTTTAACAATGTAACATTTAAGACCTTGATGCAAGAAGCATGTATGTTCAATTTTTTTTTCCCTCTTTTTGTCAGTGGAAAATATTTTTATTTCAATAGGTGGAAGAACTAAACACAAATTTGACAGCATTCCTCTCCTGTTGCTTAATCATTGCTCAACAAAAATTCTTATGTAGCTTTTGTTTAAAAAGTCTGGATTGTCCAAACTTAAAGTGATATTCATAAGTAATTTTTAACTGGCTCAAAGCATCCCTGTTCAGAAAGTTCAAAATTGGCTCCAGTGTCTTCTGGGAGTGCAGAGAGAGGATGAACAGAATCTGAAGTATATAATGCAAACACGCATGACCTACTCCCAGCAAAGGAGAGTAATCTCTTTCCAATTGGTGGAAAAAAAGCTGTACAGAAGCCTGGGAGACATGGGGAAGAATACCGAGTTCTTTATTTAATTCCTGACCTCGTAGTAGACATCCCCTGGTATTTACTCCTTTATGTGACATTGTGTGAGGGAATGAGAAGGAATATATAGGAATGTGAGGTTGCACTGTGAATTGTGCAGTGGACAAATTGTTCATTGAAAAGTCTCATATCGATAAACAATCGATGAAGAAGGAATAATATCCGGTCAGGTAGCAGCAGCTGGAGAAGGACGCTGGAGAGAAGAGGAGGCACTTGAGGCTGGGACATTAAGGCGCAACAAAGTTATCTGAAAAGAGAAGCCTACTACATTGAAGACTAAGAATATCAAGCCTAAAGTTATAAGACTTTTATACATTCATTTATTACAGTTGTCAAAATAAATTGTTTTGTTAGACAGAAGTGAAAAGTCATTTATTTATTTAGTTGTCCTATAGGCCTCACAATTGAAGAATAACAAACCAGGTGAGTCAATTCATTCAAAGTGTATTTACAAAGTCCCATATTTCATATATATATTCTTATTGTTTCTTGTCACTCAGTGTCACAAAAAGCATTAGGTTCCCGAATTCTCAACAACAGTTAAACACCCTCAAAAAGTCTATATCCAGTACCGGGGTTTAGTTTTAATAATCACGAGTGTAAATAACCTAGTTCCTTGATAAAAATGGAAGGAATATTCACAATTGCCCGCAAAAAAAAAAATTATTTACATTTAACTTTAATAGGTTATTTACAACCTGGCAAAAAAGTAATTGCATATGCCAATTCTATTTTAAAAATATACAATACTTGGTATTTTAAAATCCCTTTTGTAAAAATTAAAAAAGTCATGCATCTAAGGGTTAATTTTATATTACATGAGTTATTCATTTCCTTTTACACCATAGTATTCAGCAAAACAATATTAACAGTTGCTAATAAATTTGGCAAAAAATGCACAAATCGATGAAAATGAATAATTTTCTGTACTATATATCAATAATTTTGTTTTCTCACCAATTTCATACAAATAATAATCACTTATGTGGTAAAAATGATTTTTAAATTTTTACAGCTGCCTGATGGAAAGACCAAAGAACCAAAGCTTCTTGATGTATTAGCATTTGTCCATGGTGGAGCGTTCTTTGGCGGGGCATCTACTGATCATGGGCCCTTTTTACTTCTTGAAAGGGATGTAGTTCTTGTGACATTCAACTACAGGCTTGGTCCTTTAGGTAAAGGAATCCAAATGTAATTTATGTCTTTTAAAAATATTTAAAGTTTCATTGAACAATGGTTATGCTCCAAGTAACATATTGTTGGCACACAACCAGTATATTAGTGACTGTTCTACATTCAATACTGTTAGAACTTCTAAACTGAGAAGGAGATAGCCATGAGAAAATTCACAATGACTGATTCTTAGATGAGCACATTACCTCTCACCTTGATCCTCTGGTTCTAATACACCATTTTGAACTATCTTCTTTTACCTGAATTAATTTTGAAAGATGTCTTCTCTTAGCCTGATTCCACTGCACCACTTGCAAGGATTTGACCTTCCTAAACTAATTTTCTCAAGGAACACAAACTAATATTTAAATAAACTAAAAGAACTAAGAAAAAAATAAATTTTTAATTGAAGATTTTTGTTTTAAAGTATAAGGAACATGAAAATGGAGCAGGAAAATTTTCCATGGACAAATGGATCCTGTACTAGCTAGACAAAATGATCGTATCTTCTATACCAAAATCTAACTAAAAGTTACAGTTTTGTTTGTGATAAAAGAAATAAATGTATGGCAAATTTTGAAATAGGCCATTTATTTTTTTTATTATTTTACATAAGAAACATTATTCTATAACTTTCTTTGCCCAAGATTTCCAATTTAATGAGCCACCAAAAACAGTTGGATCATATTTATCCCACCTTGTTCACTTTGTCCAAGAATGTTGCCTTGATAACTGACGATTCGTTTTCTCCTTGCCTATTTTACATCTTTTACAAATGGATCTGTTGTAGTCTAGAATGTAATTAAAATTTCTTTGTTATACTGTATACGTCTGTATTTAATAGTATGCTTGTCAAGTCATAAATGTAATGTGTATATTTAGTATGTGATTATTAAATATATATACACATATTAATTACATATTGAATTATTAATGTTATTTAATATATAACTTATAATGCAAGGTAGTCTTCCCCTTCCATTGCTTAGACTGGACTGTGTTAATTGTGCTACTTAGGGATGTACGTCGAAATGGCTATTGTACAGTTTTTATTTAGAATTTATACTTTATTATGATAATGAAATAATTAAATGCTTTACTTAATTTATAATATTCTCTTCCCTACGTAGAGATTTCTAATAGATTCAACATAATTGTCTCAATAGAGTAATTCCACCATCATTCTTAAGATGAAAATCTTTTGAATTCTGTACAATAGCAGAGTGTTATTAATGTATCTTCAATATTTAATGTAACGTAAGATTTACTTTTTAGGTTTCCTTAGCACAGAAGACAGAGTAGTGCCAGGAAATAATGGCTTAAAGGATCAAGTTCTAGCTTTAAAATGGATTCAAAAGAACATAGCAGCGTTTGGTGGCAATCCAAACAGCGTGACACTTGGTGGGCTGTCTGCTGGTGGGGCAAGTTGTCATTATCACTTGCTATCTCCACTTAGCAAAGGTAATTCCTATCAGATAAATCCTTAACACTCCGGTATTCTATGGTTTATGCCATACTGAACTACCTCTCAGTATTCAGCTATATTGTTGAAGTCACTAGCGGGTTCAGAATTTAATTTTGGGGAAAGGCTTCAACCCGAAAGCTTTATATAAATATATATATACATATAAAACAATAATTATTTTGAAAAAAAAAGAAAGATATTAATTACCTATATGAAATTTGTGTTGAAGTGGTTCTTGAAGTCCTACTAAATACAACTACATGAATAAGAATGCTTTAAGAGATTATTTTTAATATTTTTTTCTTCACAATATGGTTATATTTTACCATCAGGGGGGAGAGGGAGGGGCTTCAGCCCAAAAGTCCCAGTAGATCCGCTGAAGTTAAGTTTGTGGCCAAGCTTTGATCAATACAGACTTGTTAGGCTGTCTAGTAAATTGAGAACTTGTGAAAATAGAATACGAATCTTTTAAGAATAAATTAAATCAAGCTGATTCTGGAATTAATTACCTCTAGTATGAAGTACAAGAATAGTCAGTTGGCATACAAAAAAAAGAAAGATTTTCTAATTGTAATTTTTATAACATTTAAGTTAATATTATAATAAATAAAAAAATATAAAAATAACAAATATTATTCAAAATATCTGGACCTTACTGAATAGAGAAAGTTTTATAATCATTTAAGTTCTTCAGAACTCTTCAGACATTCAACAACTTAATCATTTAAAAAAGTCAAATAATTCATTTTTAAGTTTTGGTGATAATATTTTATAGTGTCTATAAATTTATTTTACATGATCAATTGTGAATTATATTTGTGTATACATGATCGCCCATAATGAATATATTTTATAATTATAATTGAAATTACTAATAATAGCAATCAGTAAACGGTTAAATAGATAGTTTTATTGTTTTTAATCAAAAATGTTTGAAATGAAAATTACATATGAGCGACTTGAGAAGACAGGAACTAAAATCTTAATATATTTGGCTCTCAAACTAGTCTAAAAAAACAATTAATATTATAACGATTCCGATTCTTAAAATTTATCAAATAATGATTATAACATAAAAATGAACTGTAACATTAATTTTTAGGTAATAATAAGCATTTATTCTCACCTTACTTTTCGCCAATAAACTAATGAATCATTATTTATATTTAATCAATTTGCAATAAACACATATGAAGTCATTGCAATACAATATATGTATATGTTTTCATCAAAAAATATATGAATTATAATTAGTTAATAAAGGACTTTATGCAAACAAATGATAATATGTTCATTATCTAAATAAAATAACTAGTTTTTTAACTTTATATTTTTTTAAATTTATAAATAAGGTAAAAGTGCCATAAATATAAATATATACCAAAATGTTTTGATGAGGTTTATGAATTTTTTAGGATGGTAAATTTCGACAGAGTAATGAATTTTCGGACTAAGGGACAAGGAGAAAAACATGGTACATACTGCAGCAGGTGTAATTGTATATGATCTACGATTTTTCTAATACTATCTTAGTTCTAATTGTTCTAATTTTATCTCTGTTTTTAAGAAAATATGAGCAATTAAATATTTAGATAGCAGGTGGAGTAGGTTCTTGTGATCTTGAGGAGAGGGATGGATACCACTGGTTTGAACCCTATAAAATTATAACTTGGAGCACATTTGTAAATTAATAGAAAATCTCTTTTTATATTCCAAATTGTTATTCTTGTATTTGATATTATGTACATACAAAATTAATTAAACAACAATTCATTAATAAATAATTTAATTTTTTAATCTCAATTTATTACAGACCTTTTATTAATGTTTTATAGGTTTATTCCAGAAAGCTATCTGTATAAGTGGGGTAGCTATGAATCCTTGGACAATGGCGGAAAATTCAAAAGAAAAAACTATGATGATTGCGACAGATCTAGGCTGTCCTACAAACGACTCACTGATTATGATTAAATGTTTGAGGAACAGACCAGCTGAACACATTATTGCATCGACTAAACAATTTTCGGTAATAACAATTACAATGTAAATTTATCTTTTTTTTATAGTTTTGATTCTTTAAATTTAAATTTTACTTTTCAGTATTGGGGAATCATGTTCCCACTTGCAGTTTTTGCTCCAGTTATTGAAATGCCCAGTGCGACTGCTTTTATTTCTGATACCCCTGCAAGCCTAATAAATAATAAACTTGGCTCTGATGTTCCAACTATTTTGTCTTTTGCATTAGATGAAGGATTATGTGGTGGAGGAGGTATGGCTAGTAGTTCATACATTAATACCCTATCTATTTTCATTCATAGTGTTAAATGAAATTGCTATTAATCTTTAAAAATAAAATATAATAATATTTGTATTTTAGAGATTTTAACCACACCTGGTATGTTTGCTGATATGCAAAATCGCTGGGATGAATTGCTTCCTCTTATCTTAGATTATAATTACACTGCACCACCTAAGAAAATGTTGGAAATTTCTCAAAAAATAAAAGAAAAATATAAAATTGACGATACTCCAGAAGGACATAAAAATCTTGTTAAGGTTATTAATTATTATTAGATCGTTTATTATATTTTTAGTATGTGTAAATCATCAATTTGAATATTTGCTGGTTATTATACTATTATAATTAAAAAGAAAAATCTATCCTCAACTTATAGAATATCATCTACTTCCTTCAATCAACCATCCTAGCTGAGACTTTGGACAATAATCTATATACAAAAATCTGGTACTGCGTTCATCATATAACTTTTAGTTAAAATTTAGATGAATTATTGAAGGAAGTTAGTCGACTGTTCTACATGTCATAGGTGATAAATAGTCAGAACGCAGTCATTTTTAAGGTTTTTATTAGTGCCACCATTTAAACCCAAACACGAAGATCTAATGATTACCCACATGTTTGGGTTGAAACGTCGGTACTAACAAACCCTTAAAAATTACTGGTCTCTGACTATTTATCACTTATTAAAACAATATGATAAAATAGTTTTAAATAATTTAAGAACAATAATTATATGGATTTCTTTTTAAGATTTGTTAAGTTTAAAATAATTGAAAATTTTCAAATTTCTAGGAAAAATTTTGTTCTCTTGAATAATCATAGTTTTCAGAAATTGATGATCATAATTTTTTCATCACTCTCTATTATCTTCTACGACACTATTTAAAACTTGTTGCATTGTTTCCATATAAATGTCTGGCCCTATTTTCATGGGAATTTCACATAAATAAATAATTTATCTATATTATTCAATTGATTTTAAAACAATATATATATATACATGTGTTTTCATAATTAATTGTTGCAGATGATTGGAGATCGCATGTTTGAATCTGGCATAAGTAAAATTTCAAAATTGTCAGCTTCGGCTTATACTTCACCTCTTTATTTGTACAGGTTTTCTTATAGAGGAAAAAGTACAGTAATGGATTTTTTTGAAAAAACTGAGAAGGACTTAGGTATGGAATGTTGTTTGTCATAGTATATTAGTGATAATAAAGAGTCAGGATTTTTGTGCGGATAAATCCTGAAATATTTTTTTGGCGTTCAATGGGGCACTCTTAGTGGATCCCATGATCAGATTTGAAACAAACGATCAGGATCAGGACTTCAAGGTACAGGCAGAGAAAGATGAAATTTATACGAAATGCATACTTTATCTGAAGGAAAAGTACAGAGAAGAATTCGGTGAGAGAGAATTGTCTATGGTTCTATGAGAAAGGTCTATGGTTCATAAGCATGGGAAGCATCCCTCTTAATAGATAGATAGAAAAAAACTTCTAAAAACTTCTTTATTAGACTAAGTCCCTTTAAAATAACAAAACTGTACAAAAAGAATAGAATACTACTGGCCTAAAAGTTTGAAACAATAAATAAAATTGATAAAATAAACTAAAAAATAAAGAAAGTCTTAGGTGAACATAGGTCAGAAGGTCGAGATCTTGTGGTGAGGGAATGGATTGAGGACTTAAATTGGAGAAGGTTGTAGGCATAAGAAGGAAGATGATCGTTAATGATTTGATAAAGGAATGTGCCTAGAAAATATTGTCTTCTTAAGGAGGGGAAGAGCCACCCTAACTCAATGTAGTGGTGGGATACATGGGAGTGTCTTGGGGTCCCAATTACAAATCTTACGAAGCTATTCATAAGTCGTTTCAGTCTATTATGGAGTTCCACCGAGAGGCCATCGTACACCACACAAGTGGGAAAAGATGAGGGAGGAAACTAGGAGTCTATGAGTATTTTGGGATAGAAGATGACGGAAGTAATGGAATAGTTTGAGGGTAAAAATTGCACGACGGGAGATATGAGAGATATGGTGATTCCAGGAAAAGGTTTGATCTATGAAAAAGCCTAAATTTTTAATAAAGGGGTAGAAGGTGATGGAGTGGTTATTTAGGTAGAGTGAAGGAAAGTTAGTATGGGATCTAAGAAGGGGTTTGGAACCAATGAGAATGACCTGAGTTTTGGCAGCATTTAGCCTTAATCCATTTAAGTTGGGCCAGGCACTAATTCGATCTTAATCTTCTTGAAGTTTGGTAAAAGCTACCAATAATTCTGCAGGAGAAAAGGACAGATAGATTTGAGAATCATCGGCATAAAAGGTAGTGGGAACAATGGATGATTGAATCATTTAGGTCATTAATATAGGAGCTGAAAAGAAGCGGAGACATGCTTGAATCCTGGGTATCCAGAAGATAAAGGAAGGTAGGCAGATAATGGTTGATTGAGTATGGAAACTGCTTGGGTTCGTTGTGAGAGGAAAGAATGAAACCAAGAGATGGAACTATTGGAGAAGGATAATAATTTTAGTTTGTTGAAAAGGATGGAGAGGATAATGGAGTTGAAGGCTTTGGAGAAATCAAGAAGTATAAGTATAGTTAGTTTTTGTGATCTATTGCAGTCTGAATATCACTGGTAATTTTAATCAGAGCAGATTGTGTAGAGTAGCCAGGACGGAAGCCAGATTGGAGAGGATCGAGTTGGTTGGATTTTTCAAGGAAGCTGGAAACTTAGGATTTCACTAAACTTTATAATGGTTTTGAAAAATCAGAAAGAATTGATATTGGGCTGAAATCTTCGGGAAAGGATGGATTAGGCTTTTTGTTTGAAGGAAGAACAATGGCTTTTTGCCAAGAGATCGAGAATATTGAATTCTGCAGGGAGAAATTGTAGATGAAAAGGAGAGCTGGGAGGATTTTAGGGAGACATAATTTTATTAGTTTGATAGGAATGCCATCTGGGCTTATGGAATTGGAGCGGGCTTTCAGTATAACGGTAATAAGGTCTGTGAGGGAAATGTCGGAAAAATAAAAGTTATTGTTGTTAAAAGATACCTCTGGAGAAAAGCCAGAAAGGGAGGGTAAAGAAGAGGTGGAAACAGATATAAAGTGGGAGTTTAGATCATCAGGTGATATTGGGAAAACTGAGGAAGGGGATCTGGAAGGTTCACAGAGGGAAAGCTTACGAAGCAGAAGCCATTTTGATTTGTCTCTTCTGCAGTGCCTTAATTTCCTGACACATCCAAGGAGCAAGCTGATGATGAAAGGTAGAGGTTTCGAGAGGAGTGTGGGTATTGAGGATATTGAGAAGATTAGTGGTGAGAATATCAATCATGGTGTCGACAGAGGAGCAATAATATATTCCATTCAAATCCAATGTTACTAGGTCAGGTAATATTTTTTCTCGAGTAAAGATATCCAGTTGGGGGAAAGTGATACTTTGATGGTGGATTGGAGTAGTGCGGATATTATACGTTATTTGTATCAGATCGTGAGATGAAAGAAAGGATTCTGGCTATTGAGAGGCGGAGAGGAGGTTTTGTGCTGAGTCGATGATGTAGAAGTCTAGCCAAGTGTCAGAACTGCTGGTATGGTGGGTGGAGGAAAAAGGAATGATGAATAGGTGAAGTGAGTAATACAAGTAATTTCTTACGGAGAGTCATGTTGGAAGAGAGCATTTGCAGACCATAAACTATTAAACATATTAATCAAAAGCTTAATTTTATTGTTTCTATCATTAGATTAAAACACACATTCTATACATTTCATAATATATTAAAAAATTTTACAGGTGTTTTACATGACTTTATTTTACAGGTGTCAGCCATGGTGATGAAATTTTTTACACTTTAGGACTTTTTGATTTCAACCTTCCGGAAACTGAATCTGATTTAGAAATGTCCAAACAAATGCTTGATGTATATGTATCATTTTTAAGAAATGGGTAGGTATTGTTATCTAATTAAAGTTGCCTTACTAGTGGTGAAATAATCTACAAAATAAAACTAACTATTAAATTTAAATTTAGATTATTAGGTGAAAACTGGGAGCCTGTGAAACAACACTTGCCCAAGATTGCCTTTACAGACATCAAAGGTCCCAACAATTTCCAACTGACAGAAGTTGAAGAATTAGGAGAAGAAAGTTTTTGGGATTCCTTAGGTTTTAATGAAAACTTGAAATTGCCTGCTCATCATCATGATGAATTTTAGAACTTACTATTTTAATAATCAACTTAAAAAAAAAAATTCTTATGGATGTTGTGTTTTTATAAACCTGCAGCTTTCAAATAGGAGAATTATACATATGTTTTCAACATAAATGAGATTAAATTAAATACTTATTTGGAAGAAGGTACATTTTAAGTCAGTTATTTGTTGTTTTTTTTCTTCTTCTTGGATGGCTCTACAACTCATGAAGAGTTATGGCTTTCCACAATCAAAGCTGCCATTCTTTTTTACTTTGTGCTGCAGCCTTCCAAGTTCTTATTCTTAACTCCTTCTGAGCATCTCTAGCTACACAATTCACCCAACACACACAAAGTCTTCTAACTCTTCTACATCTGAACATTTTTTCTTCTAAGAGCATTTTGATGATTTCATTATTATTCATAGAGAGCAGAGTAGCTCAGTGAGTTATGTCCTGGACTGCTAAGCTAAGATCGCAGATTCAAATCCAGCATATCAAGTAATTTTTTTCATTGGATTTGTTAGATGATGGGATCAGGAGAGCCTCTTGGGTCATGTCCAGCCCCTAAAAATGGTTACTTTTAATTAAGTAACTACATATGAGTGAAAACCTGTCAGTTGACCATGATCCTGGTCTGATCACCTCCCTACAGAATCATTGACCTGGAAACAGTACTACCCAACAAAGTACTGAACCTGAATACCCTTTATGGGTTTTGGTGGTAGAGGTTTTTTATTATTATAATTCATACATGCAATTTAGAAAATTTGAAGAGATTAAATTGTAAAGTAAAAGTGAAGAAGATTTCAAAAGCCCCACTGACAATCAATCTACTTCATTGTGATCTTTTTTACGATAAGAAGTGATTCATACACCAATAGGCCATTTTTGAATCACAATACTTTAGACTTAATAAACATTTCATGTATATGTAACTGAAAGTTAATATATAGGATACAGAATTATTATATTTGATATTAATTGCTGAAAGTTTGTATTTACAATATAATTAAAATAATATTCATAAGGTTTATAAACTTAAAAAAAAAAAAATAAATATACTAAAAATGGAGTACTAAGTGAAAGTTGTTTTTTACACATCTTTATAAATAAAAATATTTAAATAATTAATTAATTAAAAATTCACCCCAAGTTCTGAGGCAAAAATAAATAAAAGCTTCGCAATAATTTATTTTTATATATTTCTCAATGCTGTTTTTTTTTGTCAGGGTCATGTCTTCCTCAATTCTTCATCAAATTCAAGGATTGAGGCTGCATTTTAAAGATAATCTTCTCCTTCAGATGAGGAATTCAGTATTTATTACTATCAATAACAGATAGCAGTACGTCTGAGCCAGCTTAATATTTCTGTTGTGGTGGACAATAAGTTACTAGTACAAACAACTGTATGCAGGGATGCCCAGAAGGGGTTTTCATGGTCTAAGTTGTGCTGGCGCCATCAAAATTGTCCTGGTCATCCCACCCTAAAGCCGCCTCTAAACATATTTTTGAAATGAAATGTTACAATTTAAAGGACAAAGAAATAACATGGAATCAACCAATGTAATTGTATATGATCTACGCTTTCCCTTCTCTACTTCTGCTTGGACTGTTTTTAAGAAAAGAAAATCAATAAAATAACTTGGGAGGAGAGGGGTTCATGCGCCATCGACGTTGGAGAGGATAGGCACCCCTGACTGTGTGTCCATGTTTAGTGAAGTTTTGACCAAAAGTTCAGATCGAGGACAATTTGAAGTATTTTTTGAATCTCAAAATGCAAGGAATTGGCAGTCTAAGGTACACCTTTAATCTTTCTCAGTAAAATATTCTGAATGTATTGCGTTGTTCTGAAAATAATGCAGAATTTTGGTTTAAAAAGAAAAAAAGAAAGATTTACAGCTGTTTTATTTAATCAAAATAGTTTCCAATAATAACAATAAATTTCTGCCAACATCTTGGCAACTTTTTTATTCACTCCGAATAAAATTTCCCATCTTTAGAACTGATAATCTCTAAAAACGCATTTTCTAATAAACTTTGAATATTAAATTATTTGTCACGTAAAAAGTGGTACAGGTGTCTAAAAAAATGATAATCCGTCGGCGAGAGGTTCGGAGAGTAGGGTGGATGTGGCAGAGTTTCATATCCAGCCTCCAACTTTTTTTTGTGACGTCACACGTGAGCCTCCTTTTTTTTTCTTGCTGTTTGCACATGATACATTTGATCAAAAGTTACTGTGCCATCTTTACTTAATATGCTCATTTCATATTTTCTTCATCTAACTACCATAACAATTTATGGGTAGTTGTCATACTAAAAAAATAGTTTCTATACACTACTGTATGAATTGAAAATAACAATAACTACTAAATATAACATTAGAAATCTACACCTGAATTATTCCAAGTTTCAAAATAACAAAGAAAACACTGGGAAACGAAATTCACAAAACAGTTACATAGACAGCACACTGGAGTATGAGGCACCCAGGAGAGTCACGTAAACAACACACTGTAGTGTGGGATACCCCATAATGACTTTCGATAACTCCCAATAATGACACAAGCCCAACAATGGAGCGCTAAAGACCGTAATTAGCCTGGCTATGTTTGATGTATATTAATATGAATAAACTTGGCCAAAGAGCTACTTACATAAAAGTAAATTAATATTGGAAATGTTGTGGGATGAGTCAAACCCAGTGTGTCGTTCTAGGGTAAAGATAACAATGACCGTTAAATTGTGCTTCGAATAAGTACCTAAACTCAACAATTTGGTCAGGTGATATGGTCGATAACCACGGCCAACGAACGCTAATTTTTATCATATTTGTCAAAACTGAGACAAATTACTATAAAACGCTCTGCAGCTTGGAAATTACTCTTTTAAGAGAAACAACTCTTCGAATAAAAGTTGTTGAGGATTAAGCTCCGCGTCCACTGAGTACCAACACTTTTTAATCAGCCGCCATATTTCCAGATACATGATCTGACTGGCAGACTCTCATTTTTTAAATATAAATGTCATGATTGAATATTTAATAGTTGACCGTTGCATTATAAAGGAAGGAGATGGTCCGGGGTGTCGGTCATAAATAGGCTTAGTAGTGGCAAAACTATTTTATTATATAAAAGCCAACGTTTCGACCAGACTTTGCAGGTGTTCTTCAGGGAGGTGTGTTTAGCTAGGAGTTTCACTCAGCTAAGCTAACTCCTGATAATATTAGTATTATACCATGAATGGAACATGCTAGACCAAAATTTGTTTTGTAATTATATAAAAATATATGTAAAAAAAAAACCTTTCATCTTGTATTGAATTCAGTATTCCTCTCTTACTATATGAAATGATCAACTTGTTTAACTAACAAATGTAAAAATCACATTTTTAATTTATTTTATTGTTGTGAAATGAAATGTTAAGAACACAAATCTAAGACTCAGAGAAGTTAAAAGTAAAACAAAAAATAGCCATTATCACTTTTGTTAGTTTAATGTGATAGCGACGATATACACAATTAATTTAATTCATTGTTTAATGATAACTAAATTATTTTAAGAATAAATAAGACAGAAATTATATTTTGATTCCTTTACCTAAAGGATCAAGTCTGGAGTTAAATGTCACTAGAACTATATCACTTTCAAAAAGTACATTGTGTCCATGATAACTAGATGCCCCACCGAAGAAAGCTCCTCCGTAAACAAAAGCTAATACATCAAGAAGCTTTGGTTCTGTTGTTTTCCCATCAGGTAGCTGTAAAAATATACAGTCATCAGTTTGGTGATCATTTTATCTCATAAGTGATTATTACTTATATGAAATTAATATTCATATAATAATTAATAATCATATTTAGTAGAGAAAATCATTAATGAATACTTATTAGTTGACCGTTGCATTATAAAGGAAGGAGATGGTCCGGGAGAGTGGAGGGGGGCCGTCATAAATAGACTAAATAGTAGTAAAACTATTTTATTAAAAGCCAATGTTTCGACCGGACTTTGCAGGTCTTCTTCAGGGAGGTGTGTTTAGCTAGGAGTTTCACTCAGCTAAGCTACCTGCTAGCTAAACACACCTCCCTTTGTTTTAAATTTTTTGGTCCTCCCCATTCTCACCTCTAAGGCTTTACGGGGTTTTCTCGGGCCAGGGGGTGTGGGCAGGGATTTAAAAGACTCCCCCGGCACCGGGATTCGAACCATTTTAAATCCATTGTATCATAGATCAGGTTGCCAAGCAACGGCGGTGCTGTGCACACACGTTAGTCTGTTCGGCCACCCCGCCCACCTAAACACACCTCCCTCAAGAAGACCTGCAAAGTCGGGTCGAAACGTTGGCTTTTAATAAAACAGTTTTGCCACTATTTAGCATATTTATGACCGCCACCCCGGACCATCTCTTTCCTTTATAATTGTTATGATTATTTTTAAAAAAATCATACAAAATTTTCTTCAGATAATGTCAATTTTTTACATTAGTTCTCGGATTTTATCTTATGTTAGTAACGTACAACTTTATGTTTGAGTCAAAATCTTTAAAAACCAACTTGTTGTATCTCGTTGGTAAACGCTCCACAGCTATTAAAATAATAATAAACATATCAGACGTTCAGTTCCAATTCTCAATACAAAGCAAGACAAACATTTATTTGTCATTGCTTTTTCTATTTTTGAAATAATTAAATAAAACCACTTCAGGAATGAATCATTATGTAAATGATCATGAAGGGTTGAAGTGAGCAGGTGGTTCTTTCAGATAAACCTTATCAGTTGTTCTTATCTACCAAACATATATAATATACATCGGTAGTTTGTTATTATTACATCCATAGCATTTATTTGAGTTCTATTACGAGTTAATATTTCTTGTAACAATTCCCGTATAATTTAATCGATATTAAATATGTTTTTTCGTTTAGTTTCATGTTTCATTATATTTTTAAGTAATTTTAATTTGATCATATCTTCAAGCCAACCAGAAGTCACGTTAGAACAAGGTATTTTAAGAGGGTTATATACAAGAA